GGGCCCTCACCCATTACCTGGGCTGTTCGAAGCGACGAGGAACAGGTGTGCCAAGGAGACCGCAAGGGGCCCCGTGCAAACAGCATCGCAGGTCCCCCGACAGACCCAGCAATGCCTCGCGGGTATTTATCCAAACAAAACGGAAACACGAAGGAAAAGACAACATGCGCAGCTGCCTGCCGACAGTGCCCGCGGCCCGGACCTGCGGTGTCCTGGCAGGGACGGAGGGCAGTGTGGTGCCTCCTCACTGCTCTAGGGCTCTGCCACGCAGAGGAGGCCTGGCCGGTCAGGCACCAGGGTGAGCCCCGAGGGCACTGTGCTGAGTGCGGCAGACAGACAGACACCACCTGTGGAATCTAAGAAAAACAGACACACAAACCCCGACGCAGAGAGAACAGATGGTGCTGTCCGCGGCGGGGTGACAGGGGACCCCGGACCGTGACGAGGACGCCGGGGGCACCACCGCGGCGAAGCTCTGACCTCCGAGAGGTCTCCTTCGCGAGAAAGGCGGCCGTGGCCGTGTGGGTGGCAGACTGACCGCAGTTTCTGCAGGGTCATTTCACAATCGCACCAACACCAGAGCACGGGCACCGTGGACCATTGCAAGTCCTCTCTCGACGACAGCACGTTTTCTAAAGGAAGTTCTGCCACATGCTGCCCCAGGGGTGAGCTGTGAGGTCCCTGTGCTCCCTGCTCGCAGCCAGACACAGGACAGACGCTGGGTGGTCCCTGCAGGAGGTGCCCCTCGAAGTCACAGAGGCAGTGTGGGTGGCCGTGCCCCGCGCTGGGGTGGGGGGGTTGGTGTCTAATGGGCAGACCTGCAGACTTTCAGGACGAAGGGCGATGCTGATGGGTGGGGAGGGGGGCCGCTCACAGCGGGACTGGCTGGTACCAACTGCACACTCCCAAACGGTGAGGGCGAGCCCGCCGGCGTGGCTGGGTTCAGCCTCGACCCACGTACCAGGAGGTCGCCAGTTTGATTCCCAGTCAGGGCACGTGGCCGGGCTGTGGGCCAAATCCCCAGAGCCATCCTCTCTCATCAACGTTTCTCTCTCTCCCTCTCCCTTCCTCTCTCTTTAAAAATCAATAAACAGCCCTGGCCGGTTTGGCTCAGCGGTTCGAGCGTCGGCCTGCAGACCAGAGAGTCCAGGGTTTGATTCCAGCCAAGGGCACGTGCCTCGGTCACAGTTTGTCCCTGGCCCCGGCTGGGGTCGTGCGGGAGGCAACCAGTTGATGTCTCTCTCACCTCGATGTTTCTCTCTCTCTCTCTCCCTCCCACTCTGTCTGAAGATAAATGTAAAAATAAATGAATAAATAAATTAAAATTTAAAAGAAAAAGAAAAATCGACAAACAAAATGGTGGAGATGGTAGCTGTGTGTGATGTGTATTTTAACACCATAAAGAAAAAAAGCCCATCCCAGCCACTGTGGTGGCCGTGGGGTGGGCCGGGGAGCGGAGTAAACAGCCCCAGGGCTCCCGCCACAGCGCCCGCACCCGCCCCCCTGCCCCCCTGGGGCCCGCAGAGACCCTCCAGGCCTCTCCTTCCTGCACAGGCCCAGTGGGTGCGGGGCGGACGCTCAGGGTGGATGTGCTTCACGCCGCGAACTGCGTGTCAGTGGCTCAGAAGGTCACTTGTTCAAATCGGTGTCTTTATCGTGGACGGTGTTGGGCTGCCCCTGCGCGCCCCCGTCGCCCCCTCCGGCTCCCCAGAGTGAGAGGAGCCGCAGCTGACTCCCAGGAGCCGTCCAGTTCCTGCTCCGGACCACAAAACTCCCCCTGCACACAGACACGCAGAACACTCCCAGCCTCCAGAAAGCAGAGAGCGTCCCACAGCCTCAGGGCGAATGAAAACAAGATCACGTTCAGGGCCAGGTGGGACCACCCCGGACAGGGCCCTGCATGCGGGGCCACCACTCCCCACGCTCACCCGACTGGGCCCCTGTAAACACCCCACTTCGCCCACATGCACAGTCTGGGACAAGGGAGGACCCTGGGCCCCTGAGAAGCCCACGGAGGCTGTGACCCCCCAGGGATCCACTTTTTCTCTTTCATCAATGTGCCAAAAGGACGATGTTCAAGGACACATTTTACCACAGTTTTTTTTTTCTTTTCTTTTTAAGTATTTTTAAACCCCCAAATCAGGTGGGCTGCTGCCCAGGCGGGGGACTCGAGGGGCTATCTGTCCAGCCGCTCCTCAGCAGCCCCTGCCAGCCACCCTCTCGGGGACCCTCTCCCAAACCGGGCCGATCCCTGAAAAGCCCCCAGGGCGCCGCTGCCCTGGCTCCCAGCAGCTTCTGCACAGTCTCCTCCAGCTCAAGTGCACAGCTCCTCCCCGGAGCCCCTCAGGGCCCAGCAGGCACACACTCGTCCAGCGAGGACAGGCCCCAGGGCCAGCCCCATGCGGGCCTCCTTGGAGGCTGCTCAGACATGCCCAGGGCAGCAGGGTCTCCACTCGGCATCTCAAACATCCGTCCGGCCGGATAAAGATCTCCTGCACCCAGGCCTCGTACCTGGGACGGAGGTGCTCCTGGTCCCCGCCCTCTAGGCCACCGAGCCCAGGCGAGGGGCAGCGAATACCTCGGAGGTGTCACCCACAGCCCAGTGCAACGAGGGGCCCTCTGTCCTGGCTCGAGGTCTGGGGCTCAAAGGGGAGAATCTGTCCAGCTAGGCAGGCGACTCAGACTCAGGACGGTAGGGCCACCTCCCCACCTCCTCCCACCCCGACGGGAAAGCCCGGACCCCCGGCCTGTGGTTGATGAGAAGCACCTCTCTGGAACTATAAGACGGGGGCCCACGTTCAACGACACGGGGGAGTGTCTGGAAGCAGAGGGGGCACTCCAGGGATCCCCCAGACTCCCTCCCAGCAGCCCTTGCAGGGCCAGCTGGCCAGCACTGCCCAAGTGTACTCCCAAACACGCCGGCCTGCCCTGGGTCCTGCTGTCCAGAGCCATGCTGTGGGCCCCCCCCCACCAATGCCCAGCTCCTGGCTGGCTGTGGTCTGGACGAGCTGGTCTGCGTGACGGTATCCTGCCAGCAGCACCACACGCTGTCCCTCTGCCTGCCCCCGCCCATGCCAGAGTGGGCCTTGTCATCCATCTGGGCCACAGCAGGGACAGGAGGCCCAGCTGCCCTGAGAAAGGGTGACCGCAGGGCCTCCGCTGGAGAAGCCGAGCGGTGGGCAGCGTTCCACAGGGTCGGGGCAGGGGGGCGCAGGCTGGAGCCCCGACAGGCCTGCAGCGGAGGGGAGGCCGGGAGGAGGGCGCGGCAGAGCCGGCAGGGCTGTGGCCAGGTCTCAGGAGTCCTGGTCTGCCTCTGAGGCACCGTGTGCCCTAAGGGTGCTCAGGTTCTCGGGGCCTCAGTTTCCCCGGCTGTAAAGGGGCAACTGCTCGTGCCACACCTGCTCCAGGCTGCCTGCCAGATGGGGCCAGATGCAGACGTCAGGGCCCACTCTGGATTCCAGGGAGAGCTGGGCTGTGGGGCAGCCCACCCGGGGCCACAGCCTCTGGACCAACAGGGTGGCCGGGCATGGCCAACCGCACCAAGGAAGACCCCTCCTGCCAGGCTGGGGTCCCAGAGGTGGGCAGAGGGAGGCCGCTGGGGCAGTGTGGCCATAAGAAGAGGGACAGGGCCAGCTGGACTCAAACTTCCCCACCCCCGCCCCCGCCCCGGCCAAGCCTGAGCGGGGCAGTGCAGAGGCCTTCTCCCTGACCCCCCTGGCATGACCAGCTTTCCTGAACACGTGGAAATACAGGTCTGGGAGGAGGGTCTGGGGTGAGGGGCTCCACCAGCAGGAGCACTGCCCAGGGCGATGGAGACGCTGCCCCCACGGCACGGTCCTGCTCACAGGCTGGGCAGAGGACAGGCCGCCTCGGCCCACCTGGCCTCCAGAAAGGCCGCTGCCTCCCCTGTGGGACATTCAAGCTCCTGGCATGGCCTCGCCTGGCCACACTGCAGCTGACCACCAGGTTCCCCGGACCTGTGGCTGCCAGAGACCCTCCCTGCCCACGAGTGGGCAGCAAGGGAGAGCTGGGGGCCGGGGCTTATTTGGGCCATGTCCAGAGGCTGCCCAGGTGTCTGGGGACAAATGCAGGGACGTCCCCCCTCCCCTCCTGAGGCCCTCGGCCCCTCCATGTGTGTACTGGGTTTGTTCTGAGAGGTTCCGGCTAGGAGCCCCCAGTGGAGTATCCAGGATCCCCCCGGAGGGCCTGGGGGACAGTCCCAGAGTGGGGCCACCTCCACACTGGACGCATGAGCCTCCGGGGCTGTCTGCCCCACCCCCACCTGCAGAAGCAGAGCCCTCCCAGGCCCCTTTCCTGCCAGTCCCAGGACAAGTAGCCCCTGCCACCCATGAGCAGTCCAGGAGATGCCCGCTGGGAGGATGGGGGACAGGTCGGCTGCCTGTTCGCGGCACCTCCGCGGGTGTCCTACCTGCACTGGCCACCTGCTCCGGTGGCCCTTCCCCACTGGGTCCACGTGGAGGCAGCGGGGCTCCCACCTCCTGCAAAAGGTGACTCCTGAGGGGGGCCCATGACGTCACCTCCAGGTGGCCGGGAGCCAAGTGGACTCCCACACCCACGCACAGAAGCCCGCCGGCCGCTCTCCCAACCTCCCTGCAGCCGGTCGCGGGCCGCGATTTCCTCTTTCTTTGCGGAGCCCGAGGTTTCGCAACGCGGTGGCGGTCCGTGATGACAGCGAGACACGACACGGAGCCCAGGAGGGGGAGGGGAGCGGGCGACACAGCCAGGCCGGGGGCGGGGGGCAGGGGGGCGCGGGCTGGTGACCTCCGTCCGGTCCGCAGGTGCACCCCCCGGCGCCACACCCGAGCGGGGGACCACGGCGCGCCCGCGCCCCCAGCCAGCCGGCGCCATAGCCCCCCTCCCCGCCCCGGGCCGGCATCCAGGCCGGCACCCCCAGACCAGCGCCGACCCAGGTGGCGCGCACCCGGGCCGCGCCCAGCCCGGCAGCATCCGCCCCGGCGCTCCCGCCCGCCCGCACCTACCCGGGGCGCCGCAGTCGGCGCAGTGCCCGTTGCCGGGCCGCTGCAGCAGCTCCAGGACGGCCCTCTGCCGCTCCTTGGCCATGGCAGCGAGGCCGCGAGGCCGGCGGGCCGGGCGCGCTCCCTCCCCGCGCTAGCGCCCCACGCAGGCTGCACGCCGCCGCCCCTGCGCCATCCTGGCCGCTCAGCCGGTGCGCGGGTTCCGCATTCCTGCCGCCCGGCCCCTCGCCGCGGTCCTGTCGCCGCCGCGGCCGCCGAGCGTGTGCCGGCGCGGGGCCGGGGCGCACGGCGCGCTCTGGCCGGCACGGCCCGCGGGCGGCCCCCAGCGGCGCGGGCGGGCGGCCTCCACCTGCGCCCGCCCCAGGCGCACCCCGCGCTGGGATCCCAGACCCCACCTGGGAGGTAGACCGCCGCCCACCCCCATCGAGCCCGGCGTCCCACTCGCTCTGCACGAAGCCGCCGGCCACACCAGTGGGGAGCTGACGGCCCCAAATGACGGCTGTCCTGAGTGGGGCCGTCTGCGCGGTCATTCAGGCAGGGGACAGCTCCGGGACACCCTGTGCGCCCAGACCACACACTGAGCCCTGCTGAAGGAGGGGTGCGAGCCCAGGGCTGGGGTCGGGGCTCACGCCATCCGCGCCGGGAGGAGAGGCCTGAGGGGGACACCGGTGCTCAGGGTGAATAAGGGCCCCACCTCGGTGCACAGCAGGGGCAGGAGCGGGTGGGCCACAATGCCCTGGAAAAGCCTCCCCGGCTCGAGCCTGAAGGTCACGTGGAGAGATGGAGGAGACGTCCCCTACGTGCCCATGCACTTTTCAAACTTCTGTTTTCTTCTTTAATTATGATGCAATGATACCTCCTGTTAAGAACAAATGGAAACAGTCCGGCTGGTGTGGCTCAGTGGACTGAGTGTGTCCCACGGACTGAGAGGTCTGGGTTCGATTCCCGCCAGGTCACAGCCTGGGGTGCTGGCTGACCCCCAGTAGGGGGCGTGCAGGAGGCAGCTGATGGCTGCTTCTCTCACATCGATGTTTCTCTCTCTGAAAAATCAATTTTAAAAAACATGTATTTTTAAAAAAGAACAAATGGAAACAGAACCAAGATGAACAATCTCATCCACTCCACCCCAGGCCTTCCTGAGCCAGCCACTGTTAGCCCCTCAGCATCCTTCCGGAATGGTCCATGGCCTGTGAGAACAGGGAGGGAGCCCTGCTCCTTCTGGTCCCACCTCCTGGACCGTCCAGCAGAATACCCCAGATCAGGAGAGAAAGACCCCCGGCCCAGGGGTCAGGATTCTGCCCAAGGACCCCACAGCTCCCAGCCCCTGTCCCAACACCCCTTCCTACCAGAGAAACTGTCCTCAACAGTGTCCTTCCTTGTAACTGGCAAGGGGACATTCTACTACCTAGATTTTTAAGGTCCCAAACCAGAACTGATGTGACCTAGAAGCCCCTCTGGCCCCTCCATGGGTGGAACAGCTGTCAGGCCTGTGAATGACCTTCAGGGTCGCTGGCCACAGCGGGGAAGCTGACAGGCTCTGGGCCTGAGACTCTGACCTCATCATCTGAGCCCCTGATGGACCCTGAGGGCGCCCAGCAGAGAGCACCCATGTGGCCCGAGAACGCAGTCACAGGCTGAATTGGCCTCGACCCTGCCCCGAGCCCACCCCACATACATCGGAGGTCTTGGGCTGGACAACCACAAGGCTGTGGTGCTGGGCAAGATGGGCCTGGCCCAGAACCCTCCCCCTGGCCCTCTCCAGGCTCCGCTCCGACCACACCCTGTCCTTTGCCCCGCAGCTCCCTGGCCTGCTCATGCCAGACCCAGGAGCCGTCCCAGAGGTCTTCCCAGGAGTGGGAGCTGGGGTTTGGCGGGTGCCAGACCCTGGAGGCAGCCCTCCCCTGGGCCCCGGGAGGGCGAAAGCGGTGCAGGGCAGGGCTGGGCCCCAGGAACAGCTTCCCGCGTGCTGGGGACAGTCCTGTGATGGAGCCAGCGGCTATCCTCGGGCCCACCCCCAACAAAAGGGTCATTTTGTTTCACCCAGAGGAACAGAAAGAACAAAGGAAGTGTGGCCAGCTGCAGCAGCCCACTCAGGACCGCGGACGGTGAGCGGGTCGCACGGAGGTTCCACACCATCCTCTGGGAGCAGAGCTCACCCAGGGGCTCCTCATAAGTTGTGGGTGTCCCCAAAGATGACATGTGGGGGGCCTCTCCTTGAGGGTGGGGTGCCCAGGTTTGTTTACTGGGTTTGGGGACATCTAAAAATATTGTTTGCTGCCCCGGCTGGTTTGGCTCAGCGGTTAGAGAGTGGTGTGGGAAGCAGGCAATCAATGTGTCTCTTTCACGTCAATGTTTCTCTTTCTCTCCCCGTCCCTCCCTTCCACTCTCTCTCAAAATGAATGGAAAAATATCCTTGAGTGAGGATTAACCACAAAATTGTTTTCTTGCTTCGCGTCTCAAAGGGAAACAGTACAGCTGGGAAGGAGGGTGGGTCTGGAGCTGCTGTCTGGGCTGAGGGGCGGGCGTTGCTGCCAGGCCCCTGTGGCTGGCAAGGCAGTCAGTCAGCCTGGCACAGGCCTGGGCAGGGCCGGCACCCGGGCAGCCACCTCCCGGGGATGGGGTGGGGACCAGCAGGGAAGGCTGCACACGCCCACGCTCAGCCGCTGCCGCTGTACATGGTTTGGGGAGAAGGGCGAGACCCTGATGGGACATGGGCTTCTCTCTGCCCCTGGCCCAGTGACTGCGGAGCTGTGGGTTTAACGTCACAGGCAGATCACTGCAGCTCAAAACGATCCACCTGCAAAGAACTCTCACAAGTACACGGGGAACGGGTTCACGTGGACATTTCTCCCAGGGAGACATGCGACCGAGAAGCACGTGGAAGGTGCTCAACACGGTCAGCCACCAGGACACGCAGACCAGATACAGCCAGCTCACGGCCCTGGGGCGGCGAGAGTTTGAAACAGGAGACGGCCTGGCTGGGCAGCGCATTGGTCAGAGCACTGTCCCGATGCACCAAGGTTTCGGGTTCGATCTCCGGTCAGGACACATGCAAGAATCAACCAATGAATGCACAATGGGTGGAGCAACAAATCGATCTCTTTCCCTCTCTCAAATCAATTTTGAAAAATAAAAATAGCCCTGTCCAGTTTGGTTCAGCGGTTAGAGCTTTGGCCTGTGGTCCAGAGACCTGGGTTTGGTTCCCGCTAAGGGCACGTACCTTGGTTGCAATTTGTCCCCGGCCCTGGTTGGGTCGTGTGGGTGGCAACCACTCAATGTGTCCCTTTCATGTCGATGTTTCTCTCTCTCTCTCTCTCTCTCCCTCCCACTCTATCTGAACAAAAAATAAAAAAATGTCCTCGGGTGAGGATTAAAAAATAAATAAAAAATAAAAACAGAAGGTAAGCCCAGATGGTGTTGCTCAGTGGACAGAGCGTCATTCCATGGACTGCAAGGTCCCGGTTCGATTCCCTGTCAGGGCACATGCCTGGGTTTCAGGCTCCATCCCCAGTAGGGGGCGTGCAGGAGGCAGCCGATCAATGTATCTCTCACATTGAGGTTTCTATCTCTCGCTCTCTTCCCCTCTTTCTGAAAAATTAATAAAAATATATTTTAAAACAACAACAACAGGTCAGCATGGGCGAGAACGGGGGAATGAGAACCCACGTGAGCGGGTGGGATGGAAAACAGCGACCTCTGCAGACGAGTCTGGCAGCTCCTCCCTGGGTAAATGTGGTTACTGCACGACCCAGCAATTCCGCTCCGAGCCCAGACCCCAAGAGCTGAAACAGGTGTACACAGGTCCGTGCACTCGGGTCACAGCAGCACAGTCACAGCAGCACAGTCACAGCAGCCTGACAGCGGGACCACCCAGTGTCCACCGACCCCACAGAAGCCAACACCCACACGAGCAGGAACCTGAAACGTGTCCAGTGGGCGGGCTGCACAGAGGCCCTGAGTCCTGTGTGCTCGCAGCCTCGGGCCTGGAGTGGTTCCCACGTGTTCAAACAGAAATCACGCAGCTTCTACTTCTTGGGTGCTCTGGACCTACGGACGTCCTAGCCCCCAGAGTCCTGGATTCCATCCCCTCAGCAGCCCCCTCAGAGGCTGGTCTCACATCCCTCAGTAGACGGGGAGACTGAGGCTTGGAGGAGCTGGACTGCACATCTCCTGGAGGTGTCTCTTGAGGCCAGAGACCAGCAGGAGCAACTCCTCACACCCAGACAGAGGGGCCGGGAAGCCCTGCAGCCTCACAGAGCATGGGGGCGGGGAGGGGGGTGAAACTTCCACAGGTCAGCAGGTTCTACCTACTGCAAACCAGCAGCCACCTCCGAGCCAGGTCTGCCATGACCAGTCCGTGAACCAACGCGGCCGGACTGTTCCCAGACAGGTGCAATGGGACAGAGCGTGTATTTCCCAGAGAGGGTCCCTGTCTATGCCCCCACCACATCCCCCATCCATCCATCCCCCCACCATCTACCCCCACCTTCCACTCCCCATCCTCCCACCCCATCCATCCCCCACCATCCATCCCCCCACCATTCATCCTCCATCCCTACCCCCATCCCCCCACTTTCATCCATCCCCCACCATCCATCCATCCCCCATCCGTCCATCCATCTCCCATCCCCCCATCCGTCCATCCATGTCCCATCCCCGACTACCCCTTCTCTCCCACCTGACCTATAACAGATGAACATCCTCCCCACCTCCCAGTGGGAGGTAGAATCCATTCTTAACCTGGACCGGGTGGGTTCTGACCCCTCCAACCAGCGCAGGACGGTCACAAGTCACCAGGAGACTGCTGAGGCTGGGTTCTAGCAGGGAGCAGCATCTGTCTGGTGCACAAACTCAGATTTCTGTCTGTCTCTCTTTCTCCATCCTGTCTGCCTCTGCCTCTTTCTCTCGCTCTCTCTCTCTACACACACACACTCCTATCTCTATCTATCTATCTGTCTATCTGCATCTCTGTCTCTCTCTCCTGGGGATCCTGAGCCTGGGTGGCCCGGCGCAGAGCCTGGCCTTTCGCAGGCTGATACGGCAGAGACCCTGTGGGAAGGCCCACCCCGATGCCTGACCTGCTCCATCAGCCTCAGCTGCTGGCATCCTCCCAGCTCAGGGGAGAGGCCTCAGGTGATGACGCCTCAGCCACCTCCTGGAGAGAACCTGGCTGAGCACCGCCAATCCCACAGCCGAGAGAACGGTCACCAGAAAGCGGTTGTTTCAGCTTAGTGTGGGGTGGCTTGCAACCCAGTGAGGGCAGGCTGGGACAGGGCAGTCTCCGGAACCGGCCCCAGGGCCCCCACACGTCTCAGGACGAGCGCTGACCCCTGGGTGAGCCCTCTGCCAGCTCCCCATCGTCCCCTCTCCTCTCCAGGGCTGCCTCCTGGGACCCAGCTCCATCTCTATCCTTTGCAGCCTCTGCCCTGCAGGTGTGGACGGTGAGGCCCTGGCCGCCAGGTGAGCAGGGCCCCTGCTCCCTCGTGTGGCCCACAGGGTGTGGGCAGGGGGCGTTGATGAGCCTCAGCTGGGGACACCCTGGCTGACAGGAAGATCTGGGGTCTTCGGGACGCACAGCCCTGGTCCCACCTTCAGTTCTCCGAGCGGGGCGCCCCCCACGGCCGGGCCAGGTGACCCTCGGTGCGCCGCCGCCGCCGTCCAGCAGGGGCCGCCAGGCCACCACGTTCTGTCCCTGGCTGGCGGGTCCCGGGAAAGGGAAAAGAAAGCGGCTCCCGGAGCGGCTGCCGCCCCCGCCCCACCCCGAAAAGCGGTCCCCAGCCCAGCATCTTCGGAAGGGTGCGCCCGCCGCAGACGCCGGGGGAGGCCCTGCTCGCGTGTCCCAGCCCGTCCCCGCACCGTCCCGCGCCCTGTGTCGCGCCCGCAGCGCCCCCGGGGACAGAGCTGTTCTTCGGACCCCTGGGAGCGGGTGTCCGGGGGGACTCGCCGCAGCCCCTCTCCAGGGCGTCCACCGGGCGGGGCGAGCGTGTGCGCGCACCACGGGACCCCGCGCCCTTGGGCCCACGAGCGGTGCGGGGTGAGCCCTAAGGCAGCGGGGCTCCTGGGAAGCGGCGCCGGGCCTGCCCCCGCGTGGACGCTCCGTGTCTGGGAACCGAGGTCCCTGCTCCCGCTGCTGCTGGGCGCTGGGGCCAGGCCTCGGCCCAGCCGCACCCGCCGCTCCGGTTAAGCCGCCGCCTTGCCCCGTGTGCTCCGTGGTGGGCGTGGACCCGGCGCGAGAGGCTCTGGTTCCTTCCCGGTCAGGGCACCTGCCCAGGTTGCAGGCTCGGTCCCGGGGGGCGTGCAGGAGGCAGCTGAGCGGTGTTTCTCTCATGGATATTTCTCTCTCCCTCTCCCTTCCTCTCTCTCTAAAAATCAATAAAAACATAGTTGAAAAGAAAGAAACTCTCTCAACTCGGGTGGATCCCACGTGAGGGGACCCACCTGCAGGTCCTCAGGGTGGGCCACTGCCCTCACACAGCTGTGCAGTGTGGTCCTGTCCTTCCTCCAAGGCGCCGGACACTCGGAACTGCAGGGCGTCACTGGCTCCAGCGTCTCTGGCCCAGCGAGACCTGCCCCCGCCACCAGGTCTCCTCCCGCCAGAGCACCTACTCCGAGCCCGGGCGCCAGCCGCCCTCCGCCTGCACAGGGCACTGAGGCGGCCTGTGACCACCCACCCCCTTCCTGCGGGGGGACGAGCGGACCCACAGGCCCTCCGCCTCGGGCCTCCCCCTGGGCCCTGGCCCCCCTGCGAGCTCTGCAGACCTCCAACGCATAAACCAGGGGAAATAGCGGCTCTTTCCAGACAACATAAAATTACAACCACAGGCACGTCATTTATAGGTGATATAAAATTACCAGTAAACACAATGAGTTCTTTAAACTAATGACCTTCTTGTTTCTATAAAGATGAGACATGCTTGTTATAAAATAGTCGTAAACTGTGAGGAGCCCTGGCTGGTTTGGCTCAGCAGTTAGGGCATCAGCCCGCGGTCCAAAGAGTCGAGGGTTCGATTATGGTCAAGGGTGCGTACTGGTTGCTGTCGTGTGGGAGGCAACCAGTCAATGTTTCTCTCACATCAATGTTTCTCGTCTCTCTCTCTCTCTCTCCCTCTCTCCCTCCCACTCTACCTGAAGATAAATGGAAATAAAGTAATTAATTTAAGAAAACAAACTGTGCCCTGGCCGATTTGGCTCAGCGGTTAGAGCGTCGGCCTGCGGTCCAGAGACCCGGGTTCGGTTCCCGCTAAGGGCATGTACCTCGGTTGCAGTTTGTCCCCGGCCCTGGTTGGTTGTGCGGGTGGCAGCCACTCGATGTGTCCCTTTCACGTCAATGTTTCTCTCTCTCTTCCTCTCTCTCCCTCCCACTCTATCTGAACAAAAAATGGAAAAATGTCCTCAGGTGAGGATAAAAATAAATAAATAAAAAAACAAACCGTGAGGAGAGCCATATGATGTCAGCGAGGCCATCCCCAGACGGGGGTCGGGAACACCACTGTGCAGGCCTGCAGATGTGTCCCCTGCCCACTGTCCAGATGGACAAACACTTCTCAGGACCAGGGACTGTGACACACGTAATGGGGGTCCTGACTTCCTGATCTTGTTACTGGAAGAGAGCCTTCCTCACTGTCATCTGCCAACAAAGCAAGTGTCCAAGGTTCCAAAACGAGAGGCGCCGCCCATGGCAGGGCTGACCAGTGGTCAACAGCATCACAGGGTCCTTGCAAGAAGGAGGCAAGGGGCCAGAGCCGGAAGGCGATGTCATGGAGGCCGGGGCCACAGGCCAAAGCACTCAGCACCTCTAGATGCTGGAAAAAGCAGGGAAAGATTCTCCCCAGAAGCACGGCCCTGCAGGTGCATTTCTGACCTAGACTACGTAATATGATCCATCTGCTAAGCCACTGGGTTTATGGGGACTGGTTCGTGCAGCACAGGAAACGACACTGTGGAGGGGAAGAACCTGGCTGGCTCCTGAAGGCTGGGACACAGCCAGCAGAGTGAGGCCAACACAGGGCTGAGGGACAGAGGGAGATTCAACACTGCACCCTGAGCTCCCCAACGTGACTTGTGTGGATGAGGCTGAGAGGGCAAAACCAGGGAGGGCCCAGGCCTGACCATGCTGCCGGACTTCCCTCCTGTCTCAGGACACTTGGAGTGTCCTAGGGACCAGGGTGCCTAACTGCTGGCCTCTCACAAGTGGCCATGAGAAACAAGACGGTCTTTATGTAAGGGTGGGCTGCCCGGAGCCCTGAGCACCGATTTTTAGCAACTAGGACCTAAAAACCCACGGCAGTGTCCAGAAGCTGTCAACTGTTCCACTCGGGCTATTTCCAGACTGCCCCTCCGGTTCCGCTCCCACCTGACCCTGCGTCTGCATTACCCCTACTTGAATTTCACTGGATGCATTTCAGAATGGGAATTAGTCTGTAGACAGTTTAACTACAAAGAGTTTAATACAAAACACTCTTTCACTTTGAAATAATTTCAGACTTCCAAAAGCTGCAGTAGTTCACATGCCCCGCTTCTCCAAACGGCATCTCACGTAGTCACAGGACAAGGACTGGACTGTCCTGGTAACCGACCGGCAGATCTTCAGGCCTGGCTCCCTGCCCTCATCCTGCCTGGGCTGGGGCGAGGAGAGCCTCCCGTCCTGGACGGCCACTCAGGTTGTCACTGTGGACCTGACACTTCTGAGGAGCACTGGGCTTCATTTCATGCACGATCCCTTACTGAGGTTACCCACTTTTGGCAAGAAAACCCCTGAAGTGACCCGTGCCTTCTCAGGGCATCAGGCCAGGGTGCTGGCTGGGTAGGCCTCACTGCAAGGTGACCGTCATCCCTCTGTGGTCAGTGTGTCTGAAGGCAGGTCCTCCAGGCCGGGCCGGCATCCCGCCCACACTGCTCTCCACCCAACTTCACACCAGCGATGGTCTTTCGGGCAACCATTCCCGCTGCAGGGCTTGCCCTGGGCGACCTGCCCCCCCCCCCTTCCACACTGGTCAGAACCGGTAGGCGCTGTCCCTCCCTGCTGGCCGACACTGGTCAATGCCTGCTCTTGGTGTGGGAGCGCACTGCTGGGGAGTGCCTCATTCTGGGGCCACCCCACCACCACCTCTACAACCTAGCCTATTTGTGAAACATGAATACGGTTCAGAGTCAGAACTAAACTATAAGCCGGGGACCACTCATTAGTTCCTGAGTTTCTTTTTGTACAAATACACAGATATTTCTAGAGTTTTTTACATCTCTCTCGCTTTTTTTTTTTTGGTTAATCCTCATCCTTGGATATTTTCCCACTGATTTTTAGATAAAGTCAAAGGGAGGGAGGAAGAGAACGAAACATCGATGTGAGACAGAAACATCAATTGGTTCCCTCCTGCATGACCCCAAGCTGGTGATTGAACCCGCAACCGTTTGGTCCACAAGCTGATGCTCTAACGGCTGAGCAAAACTGGTCAGGGTTGCATCTCTTTCTAACATACTATAGATACGCTAGAATTCTGCTTTTACACTTTTTTGTTCAAAAAAAAGGAAAGAAAAAATTTTGCTAGGCAACAGTCTCTGAAATTCAGAAGCATCCAGTGTTACAAGATGAGGCCACCACGTCAGGTGGCCAGCGTATCCACTCAGTCTGTCACCATCACGAGGGCTCCGTCACATGTGGATTTAGACAGAATTTAACACTCTTAAGGGAGAAAATAAGAATCTAAGAAGAAATATAATTTCTCAGAATAATCTGGGCGTGCAGAGGATGGGCCACCTCCCAGCTGTGAGCCACACACAGCACGGTGCTTCAAGGGCACCCAGAGGCCCTTCTCAGTCCCACCACCCTGGAAGTGACCGCCAGGGTGACAGGCTGGTGCCATCGGCTCCGTCCTAGACAACCAGCACAGCGTCTTCCCGTGGAAATTTAGCGTCCGTCTGCTTTTGTTCCCTTCAGGTCTCCAAACCCCAGTTTTTCCAGTGGTTCTTGTGCCATCAGTTGCCTACAAGACAGACAGTTGTCAAGGTGGACAGTGAAGAGATCCAGCCATCCAGGCTGCCATCCCGCCCCCAGCGGTGCTGCTAGACCTGGTCCCCACCAGCCTCCCGCTGCGTCTGTTCAGACGGACTGACCAGGCACCGCTAAGCCCCGGAGCCCTCCTGCTTCCTGCTCACACTCCGGGAGAGAGCTGGGAGTGCACTTTGCTTTTGTTTTGGGGGTAAGGGGACAACAGCTTTCAGAGACCCCCCTGCTCACGTCCCGGACATGCTGGTACCCCACCACTACCCCACCACACACTGGCCACTGTCTGGTGGAGCCCAGAGCGGCGGCCAGCGGTGTCCCTGTCCCAGTCCTCCGCAGCCTCAGGAGGCCGGTCCAGAGGCTGTGCTGAGCCGGGCACTGCCACATGCAGACCGGGGCAGCCCACCTCCCTGGGCAATGCGGAGAAGACAGGGCCCTCCTGCTGGTCCTTCACCAGGTGAGCCCGGAGCCTCCCTGGGGACCCAGACCAGAGAACCCCCTGGAGCTACAGCCAGCAGGAGCTGCTGGGCACTGTGGTCGGGCAGAAATCGTGGGCCTGAGCGGGCAACGCACTCACTCCCACGCCGGCAGAGACCGACGTCAAACTAACTCTACGACGGGGAAGCGCCAAGAAGAAATCACTCGGTTCCGGATTTTTAAAGAGGCGCTGCCTTAAGAGTCGTTAGAACAGGTGGATGCTGGCATCGTGCTATTTAAAGATGGCAAGAGCTTGATCCGTGGTCAGCTGGCCCCTGGGAGCCTGAACTCGGACAGGGGCCTCAGTGAGCGCCCCGCTGCGAAGGCCCCTCACCCTCAAGCTCGCCCAGCTGCCCGGGGCACGCACACCTGCGGGCTGACCGTGCGGGAACTGCCTTCCGGGGCCTGCGTCCCGCCTCCGACCAGGGGCCTGAAGGCCGGGTCCTGGGCGTGACAGTGCCCACCCGCTACCCTGGGGCAGGGCTCACTTTCGCTGCGCCCCAGGGGGCCAGGCAGGGCGCGTGGCTGTGCTCGCGGAGCTCCGCAGGGCCGCGGGGAGGCGCCCGCCTTTCTCCGCCCCGGCCCAGGGCCCGGCCCCGGCCCCGGCCCCATTCCAGCCAGAGCCACGCGGGCAGCTCTGCCGCACCCACCGCCTCCTGCCCTTCCACTCGGTCGGCACCCCAGGGGCTCTGGAACCTCAGGGACCGCGGCCGCCAGGTCTGCCCGAGGAGCACAGACCCGCAGCGCCTCGGGTCAAGGGAGGCGGGCCTGGTGCGGGCGGGCCGCGGCGCCGCAAGGGCCTCTGGGAAAGAGCGTCCCAGGGAGGGCGGAGCCTGGCGGCGCGGGGCGGGGCCTGGCGGGGCTGGGGGCGGGGCGGGACCTGGCGGGGCTGGGGGCGGGGCCGGCGGCGCGGGGCGGGGCCGGGCCGCCCCCACTTGCCTCTCCATCCTGCACTCCAGGTACTCCTTGGACTCGCGCCTGCACAAGGCGTTTTCGAACTTGTTGTCCCGCAGACACTTCATGAACCTCTCCTGGAAGCTCCTGCACTCCCCTAGGACGAAGGACACGCATGTGCCTCCCCAGCGCACACGGCCGCCGCCCCGGCCCGCGCGTCTCCTTCGGCCACGCGCGCCCCGCGGGCCCGGGCTGTGCCGGGAGCCGTCCCCGGGACGCGCTGGGCCACGAGCACCGACTCTTCCCGAGGCCCTGACGGCCACGGCTCACGCTCAGCGAGCCGCAGACAAGCCCGGACAGTGACCCGTGTCCCTGACATCTCGCGAGACCTGCCGCCGCTTACCGAAGTGGTCCAGCGGGAAGCTGCCCTTGTCCGGGGGCCGCGGCTGGAAGCTCTTGGCCCCGAAGTTCATGGCCGTCGACATGATGGCGGCGCCGGAGCCTCCGCCCGCGCCGCGCGCACTACGCCGGCCGCGCGCAGAGCAGGCCGAGCGCCGAGCGCGTCGAGCGGCCTCGCAGCTAGGCCCCGCCCCCGCGCACGCTCCCCACCGGGAGCTCTGAAAGGCCCCGCCCCCGCGCACGCTCCCCACCGGGAGATCTGAAAGGCCCGCCCCCGCCCGCGAGGCCCCGCCCCCGCGCACGCTCCCTGCCGGGAGCTCTGAAAGGCCCGCCCCCGCCCGCGAGGCCCCGCCCCCGCGCACGCTCCCCGCCGGGAGCTCTGAAAGGCCCCGCCCCCGCCTGCGAGGCCCCGCCCCCGCGCACGCTCCCCACCGGGACCTCTGAAAGGCCCCGCCCCCGCCTGCGAGGCCCCGCCCCCGCGCACGCTCCCCACCGGGACCTCTGAAAGGCCCCGCCCCCGCCCCGCGAAGCCCCGCCCCCGCGCGGGATCCCGCTGGCTCCGCCCAGCCCCCTCCAGTCCCCGCCCTCTGGCCCTCACCGCAACCCAGCGGCGGAGGAAACGAGCTCGGAGAGGTTCAGCAACTTGCCCGAGGACACACAGCTTCGGTCCCCACCGAGCCGCGGGGCAGGCGGCAGGCAGGTCCTGGCAGGCCGTGCAGGGGCGGGCACCCTGGCGCCCAGGCCTCATCGTGACGCTCATCGGGTGAGAAAGTGCAGGAGGACGAGGGTGAGCTCCCGGGCGGCTCAGGACGACGGACATGTAATCTCTGGAGACCAGAGTCCGAGATCAAGGGGCCGGCGGGGCTGGTCGCTCTGCGCCGGCCTCTCTCCTCGTTCTGGTGGCTTGTGGGCAGGCCCAGGCGATCCTTGGACTGCGGACCCATCTCCGATCGGCCTCCATCCTCGCCTGGCTTCTCCCTGTGGGCGTGTCTGTGTCCAGATTTCCCTGCCGGCCATTGGCTTAGGGCCCAGCTTAATGAGCTCACTTGAGCTAATCACTTCTGCCTGGGCCCTGTTTCCAAGGCATTGGGACTTCAGGGGACAAGTGTGTCCTGAGGGGCAAGCCCCTGGGGGGTCATTCCTTGTGTGGCAGTGGAGACCCCAGCTCCCCCAGCCCTGGACCCTGGGCACCCCCACTCTGTGCCTCCACTTTTCATCCCGACGATGGGGAGATGGGTCACTCCTCCCCCACAGCTGTGATTCTGCCAACAGCTCAGTCTATGCTCTGTCCACCCAACTACCAGTCACTGAGCACCAAGGTCCTTGGAAGCACAAAGCTTACCAGCTGGCCCCTCAGAACACAATTTCTGTACCAGGTCCCTGCCGTGACTGAACACCTCTGCCCCTTCCAAGGTCAGGAGACGCCAACTCCAAGCACTGAGGGGCTTCCCGGGAGGTCCCTGCCAACAGCCCTACCCCAGGGCCTGCCCCCTCCTCAAGGCATGGGTGCCACCCTCTCCAGGAGGCTCCCCCCACCTGCCGGGTCCCCTCTGCAGGGACCACCTGTTTTGTGTCCAGGCGGCAGAGAGCAGGCCCCCAGTGTGGGTGGGCTGCAGGCAGGGGCTCCGCAGGGACAGCCATGGCCACTGGAAACCCATTCCAGTGTCTGGGCCTTCATGGGGGAAACTGCACCTTGTTCCTGTCACATAAACAGCTGTTTTACGGGCTGGAGCCAGGGCCACACACGGTTACTCATTAACAGTTTCCAGGGGTGTGAACAACGGAGCTTTGTTACCCAGCACTTGCCCTTGACCTTCTACCACTTAGCACTAGATGGGACAGCCCCACCCCAAGGCGCCCACAGCCTCTGGCCTAGTGGCCCTGAGGTGACCTCAAGGTGACAGCCAGCTTTTCATGGACTCCTCCCTCCATACCTGGTGCTTTCTGAGATGTTTAGCTGGGGTGGGAGGGGATTTTCAGCCGCACAGTTAAGAAAAGGGGGGGGGACTAAAGTTTTTGGAAGCCCACTTGTGTGCTAGGCTGTTTCACATGGGTCCTGGGGCCAAGAACAATGCCTGGCACGCAGGAGGCATTCACGTGATACCCCCCGAAGAGTGAACCCAGTTGGTGTCTGTTATTATTCTCATCTCACACATAGGCCAAGCCCCGGGGGAGGAGCCGGTGGATGCGTTAGGTACCAAGCTCAGTGGGGTGGCGATCCCTTGCTTTGTTCATGAATCCGCACTGTAGGCAGACTTTGGGGAGCCCCCCATAAGCTGGGGTCACAGCCTCAGGTTCAAGAGCCCCCTTTAAGATGGGGTACCCCCATGGAAATGCAGGAGCAGAAGAGGACAGAGCACACAGAGCCGGGGGTAGGAGGTGGGGGTTCTGCTGGGTCAGTGGGAACATCCGCCGGAACCTGACAAGCAGCAATCCCTTGGCTCAGGGACTCCATTTCTAGGGATTTTGCAGCATCCTTTGCAACTGTGCACAAAGAAATCGGCACACAGGTTTTGTTTTTTGTTTTTTTTGAGAGAGAGAGGAAAGGAGAAAGAGAAACATCGATGAGAGAGAACACTGATTGGCCGCCTCCTGCACAGCCCCACTGGGTTGGGCCCACAACCTGGGCATGTGCTCTAACCAGGAAAGGAACTGGAGACCTCTCAGTGCAGGGTCCACACTCAACCACTGAGCCCCACTAGGGGGCTGCACACAGGTATGTTTAGCAGCAGGCACAGCAGTCTGAGACAAGCAGCCACGACAGAGGAGGACGGTCCTGCCTGATCCCGGGGAAGGGATGCCGGCCAAGGAGCTCCGGTCACTGGAGATGCTCACCCTCCGACCGTGGGGAAGGTGTGTTGTAACCCAGGAGAGTCATCTCACTCAGACATCAAGTAATTTTGAATATTAGGAGCTTTGTTACCTGCGCAGGGACTGCAGCCAACCTACACAGAGGAGAACTGCAGCCCCGAGCTCAGGGGGAGGGTTGCTTATATAGGACAGGGGTTACTCAAGAGTTTAGCAGAGCAAGCAAGCTGCGTGTACAGAAGCAGATATCAGCAGTTAGTAACTGCACAAGTTGTTTATTTTATATTTCTTAACATTTACTAGACCCTAGCCTTGAATGCCTCATTGTCCCGTCTGGCATCTCCTGATTAGTTAAGCTCATGGTCAATACCCTTGTGGTCATGGCTGATGCATACCTTCCTCTTCAAGAATTTTTGCGCCCTGGCCAGTCTGGCTCAGCGGTTAGAGCGTCGGCCTGGGGTCTGGAGAGACCCGGGTTCGGTTCCTGCTAAGGGCGCGTACCTCGGTTGCAGTTTGTCCCCGGCCCTCGTCGGTTGTGTGGGTGGCAGCCACTCGATGTGTTCCTTTCACGTCGATGTTTCTCTCTCTCTCTGTTCCTCTCTCTCCCTCCCACTCTACCTGAACAAAAAAATGGAAAAATGTCCTCGGGTGAGGATAAAAAATAAAAAAAAATTTGCCCTGGCCGGTTTGGCTCAGCGGTTAGAGCGTCGGCCTGCGGTCCAGAGAGACCCGGGTTCGGTTCCCGCTAAGGGCACGTACCTCGGTTGCAGTTTGTCCCCGGCCCTGGTCGGTCGTGCAAGTGGCAGCCACTCAATGTGTTCCTTTCACGTCGATGTTTCTCTCTCTCTCTCTTCCTCTCTCTCTCCCTCCCACTCTACCTGAACAAAAAATGGAAAAATGTCCTCGGGTGAGGATAAAAAAAAAAAAAAAGAATTTTTGCAAAAACAACTCGGGTTCAAGGAACCCAGGAGAGGTTCCTTCTTCTAGCGGATGGAGAATTACTGGGTTATATCATTCCCCACTGGTTTTATGTACAGATCAAATCTTTGATCTAATGGCAACATTTGGTAATGAGAGGCCAGGGTAATAATTTGACAGATTGGACCCTCTCTCTTATGAAAGCTATTAATTTGTTTATCATTATAGGTCTACAGAAATAGTCCTAGAAGGAGTATGAGGGGGCCTGCTAGAGCTGAGAGAAGGGTAGTGAGCCAGGGGGACCAGTTACAAAGGCCTTCGAACTCGCTACTAGAGGCCTCCTCGCTTCTGGCCTGTTCTGTGAGGCGCTTCCTAAGAACCTGAATACTCCCTCTGATGACTCCTATCTATTGGCATAAAAACAGCAAGCTTCCCTTAGTGCTCTAAATGCTGTAAGGTGTCAGCGAGATAACTAGACACGCACAGCCGAATTGTAAAGGAGCACTTTATTACATGGGCGGGCTGGTGGGGCAGTCCCCTAACCCTCAGCAACCTGCCTTCTTTGTTGCCTGCTTTTAAAGGCACAAACTACAGAAAACTACTTTCTCTTGGTGCTGCTTTTGGCACTGTTAAGGGGGAGCTGATACAGAGAAGGGGGAGAGAGGAGCTTGTTTTGTCAGGGCAGCTTTTAATCTCTTTTTTCTCATGGTTCCTCTGAGTTTCCCAAGGCTATCATTAACCCCTTATCTTTCTATTTTTCTTTGGGTTTTTCAAGGCCCTTATGTTTACAAAGAAAGTCTGCTAAGGTGTGTACGTGTAGTAACTGAGGGTCAGAATGGAGTTATTATATCCCCTTTGTGGTGACATTTTTTTAAGATTTCTGCTAATATCCTATTTGTGAGTTCCCAGTTCTACTGGAGTACAGATCTATAAAGATTCCCCTGTACAGTTATAATCAGAAAAATTAGAGTCCCAATAAATGTAAGAGTCTCATTTTTAAGGATCTGGAGAGGTCTGCACTGTCCATTCCGCTTTTTCCGCCTTCAGGCAGGAATGGTGCAGCCAGACCAGGATGCCGTTGACCTAGACAGACGTTGGTGCGGGCAGGATGACAGTGTATGGTCCCTTCCAGGCCGGAGTTAGTCCCTAGGTGGTGAATTTTTTTACCTATACTGAGTCCCCAGGCTGGAAAGGGTGCACAGGGTTGGAGGTGGGCACAGGCAGGGCATCGCAGATGTGTTTATGGATGGTCTTCTGGGCAGACTGCAGGGCCTGTAAGAACTGTAAGAGGGTGAGGGGAGCGGAGTGGTGCAGTCTTCACCGGTTTCTCTGCTGCACCAGTGTCTACCAGGAAACTAACTAGTTTGTCCCCTATTGTCTTGTATTACTCTGGGCTCCAGAGGGCTCCGCTGGAAGGAGCCCTAGCCCTGTCATTTTCCTAAATTAAGGACGGCTTTTCATTTTGTTCCTCTACACCTGACTTTGCCCTTGTCTTTTCTATCCCTAATCGGGACCTGGCCTGTTGTCCTGACCCTTCCTCATGTTTCCCTTCCTAGGGTGACCCTATTCCGTGTGCCCTGTTTCCTTTAAGTCTGCTACTACTACCTTTGCTAATTCAGCCAATGGGGCCAATAGGCCTAACAGGAGAACACGGTGAAAAGTGTCTAAGGAAGCCCTTCCCCCGACAGTATTTGGGTCCTGCCGTGGGCAGAGGAATGGGAACATTTCCCCTGACCCCAGGTTTACAAAGGATGCAGGAAAGGGGAGCAACATTTTAACACATATGTTTATGCGGGGCAGAGTGTTTTTTTAACTCTCCAAGAGCACTTTGTACCCGTGCTTGGGATCCCTATATTTAATTCCCTAAAGTTCAGAGAAACCTGTTGGAAACTAGCTGCTGTCAAACCCGCTGTGGACGAGCAGCCCGGGCTGGCATTTCAATGGTTAAACAGTTTGCCTGTGAGAATGTTAATAAGCCTTGTAGAGAGGCATTGAGACCTCACTACAAAGAAGCCAGTACATCTGAATATATCCATATCTATTCAGATATTGGGTTAGATCATTAACAGATCTAAATTCATCTTCTAGTTTTTCTGTGATAAGAACCCAAAATAGGCAAACTCAGTTTAATTGACATTTTAGTATACCTCAAGGGGGTCCTGAAGGATGGGATAGAATTTCCTCGGGGGGCTGGGAGGAGTCAACTGTCCTTCAGGACAGGCGGAGGCATTGTTAACAAAGCTTTTTTCCTTTCATTTGAACCTCTGGACACTGACATTTCTAATCCAAATATCAATGTATACCTTTGATCAGGGTGGGGAACCCCGTACATAACGGACCTCATAGCAAACAAAAGACTCAAGTCAAAAGACCCTTTGGATGGCTAATTAACTCGGAATGTTGGCCACTCCAACTCACAGAGGGTCCGGAGGACCCCAGGATCGGCTGGTGTTCTGTAGCCTTGGGATCTCCTGGAAAAGTCAGAAAAGTTAGCAAGAATGTATTCAAGGGGGGTACGGGGGCGTTGACGGTCCTCGTTCCATCCTACTGAAAGCAAAACAGAGCAGCAGAGAACATGGAACACAAATAGACAGACAACCGCAGTCAAGACACAAAATACCAATTTCAGAACAGACGCACCCGAAAGTGCCAGATGGAAACCCACTGGTTTCCCAGGTCAGGAGTCCGCGTCCCAACCCTGAGGGGGAAGTGCAGTTGAGCGGCGTCCAGCCCGCAATAATCCCAGATCACTCTGGAGCTACCGAAACAGAAAACAGAGGGAAGGGGAAATCCCTTACCCAGATCCTCGAGGCCGAAGTCCTAGTCCGAATTAGCCGAATCGAAAGCCAGAACGAATGTAGGTGCGGAGGGCGAGGAGGCAGCCCCCCGCATAGTCTGAGGAGGTCGACCCCACAGAAAAGGGGGACCTCGCGGCTGATCTCGCTGGGGCCTCCAAATGTTGTAACCCAGGAGAGTCATCTCACTCAGACATCAAGTAATTTTGAATATTAGGAGCTTTATTACCTGCGCAGGGACTGCAGCCAACCTACACAGAGGAGAACTGCAGCCCCGAGCTCAGGGGGAGGGTTGCTTATATAGGACAGGGGTTACTCAAGAGTTTAGCAGAGCAAGCAAGCTGCGTGTACAGAAGCAGATATCAGCAGTTAGTAACTGCACAAGTTGTTTATTTTATATTTCTTAACATTTACTAGACCCCAGCCTTGAATGCGTTATTGTCCCGTCTGGCATCTCCTGATTAGTTAAGCTCATGGTCAGTACCCTTGTGGTCATGGCTGATGCATCACTTCAAGAATTTTTGCAAAAACAACCTGGGTTCAAGGAACCCAGGAGAGGTTCCTTCTTCTAGCGGATGGAGAATCACTGGGTTATAACAGGTGTCCTTCACATCTGAACCCTCCAACCGCACCTGGGCACGAGCCATTCATGCGGATAGAACTGTGAAGAAGGCGCACAGGCCTCTGGTGGGATGCGCGATCAAGGGGTGCAGCGCTGGCTGGGGGCTGCCTTCCTGAAGGCCAGGCGTTGACCTCTGGACCCCGCCGCTGGAGCGTGTCTAGTATCCACGTGAACGGAGGAACACCGGAGTGGGTCAGCTTTGCCGTGGGTTGCCCGGTGGCCCCACAAATGACGTGCCACCTGATCTCTGTAGATTAACTAAGGTGAGGAGCCCCAGGTGAGGCCGAGGGCGCACCTACATCCTACAAGTGTTATCAGAGACAGGAGAGGCCCACGGAGACACCAGGGAGGAGCCCCTGCCGCGGAGGGGTCGTGGGGCAGCGCCGGGCCACCAGGAGCTGGGCCACGGAGAGGTCCTCTCAAAGCCTCGCAGGACGCCCTTGCCCGAACCCACGGGCCTCTCCAGGCCGCAACGCCAGATGAAGTTCTCGGTCCTTAGCCCGGGGTGTGGTTGTCACCGCAGCCTCAGGTCACTCACCGCTGTGGACCTGGGTCACTGGGAACCCGGGCTGGACCCTTTCCGAGGGGGAGCCAAGGGGAGGCAGCAGCTCTCTCTGGAAATTGGGCTGAGAGGGGAGAGGAGGGTGTGTGGGGGGGTGTTACTGTTATTATTTGAGGCTCAGGCGTAGGAGTGAGCACATGGCTGGGCCCGCCCACCTGGGCCTCTGGGTGGGGCTTCCCCAAGGCCTGGGCAGGGCTGCAGGGCGCCCCCCACCCCATCAACTCGACCCCACCTGCAGGAAAGGCAGACTCCCTCCCCCAGCCACCCCAGGGCAGGACTAGGGCCTCTGAAAGGGTCCAAAAGGTGTCAGGACTTTCCTGAGGACTTTGAGGGCAGCTGGGACCGGAGACTGTTCTAGAACCTTGCCCCTCCCACCCACTTCCCCTTGCTGGGGATCTGGGCAGACTCAGGACTCCCCTGAGGTTACAGCTGCCCGACTGCAAGACTCAAAGGTCATAGGTTGTGGCCGCTGCCTCTAGAACCCTGGCTCACAGAGCAGTGGTCAGTACTGGGCCGCAGTGGGTGCTCCGGGCCGGCCCTCACCTGCCGGTGTACCGAGTCCCTCTGAGCTGAGCCCGCTTCCTCCTCCGTGAAATGGGGGCCACCCTGCCAGGCTGTCCAGAGGAGCTAAAGGGTCCTGCGGGAAGAACACCTGTCCATGCTGGGCTCCAGGGTCGAGGCAGGGCCAGAACGGGCTCGGTGGGATGGTTCTGGGACGTCCCCCACTTGCACATGTGGGGCTGCCCCAAGACCTGACCTTGAGCTCAGTACCGCCTGCAGGAGCCAGTCTCCACCTCTCTGAAGGGCGAGGCTGTGCAAGGCCACCCCACCCCAGGACCAGGAGTTCCTTGCCTGCATCACCCCCAGGCACGTTCCGGGAACATTCTGGGCTCAGGCCCCCTGCCTGGCAACCCCCGTCCCGGCCCCTGCTTCTCACACTTCCAGGCCTTCCAGGCTCCCTCGGGGGGAGTCCTGTGACTCAGCTCCAGGCTGATCCTCTGAGGACCCTTGGCCTTCCTGGCTCCTGGTGTCCCCATCGTGCCCGAGGGGCTCTCGGTGGCAAAGGCACAGCTGCATTGGCTTCTCCCACGAGGCTGTGGGGCCCTTTCAGGACCCCTGTGCCACAGTTTCCCAGCCCTACCTCCTGTCCGAGCCTAGCACGCCCAGGTGCTCGACAGAAGCCCAGGTAGTGAGGCTTCCCGGCGGGCGGAGAGGATCCCCTGCACGGCCAGGAGCAGCCTCGGGTTGGGAGCTCAGCCTGAACCACTCGAAGACCCAACTGTCCCACAGCTGTGCCGGACAAGGCCGCTGGCCAAGTAGTGAGCACCCCATCGCGAGAGGTGTGCAAATCAAGGCTGGGAGTGGATAAGGGTTTGTGCAGGGGCATGGACAGCCCTCGAGGGGACAGGCCCTGTGGTGAGGGGCCCCAACCTGTGCGGATGGGGTTCCAGCTGCCTCGTGTCGGGGCAGGTGTTTGAAGCAGGCCCAGCCAGTTCTGGTGCCAGCAGCCTTCCCGCCCTCCCAGCTCATTTCCAAAGCGGTGCCTCTTCCCCTCCCAGCCAGGCCACCAGGGTTAGGGACAGGAGTGTAGCCCAGACAGATGAAGGCTCTTAGACCCAGCCACCTGTCCCCAGCAGCCCTGCCCCACCCTGTCCTGGCACAGGCTGGGGCCTCCTGCCCCAGGTGACAGCTTTTACAAAGCCACCGACAAGCAGACTGTCACTCAGGGTGAGCTTGTGTCAGGGCCTTGGCAGGAGGGACTCTGCTGCGTCTTCTGAAGACCCTGGGTTTGCGGCGTGTGCTGTACAGACCCTCGAGGGCCAGCCCTGGGATCTGCACACCTGCGACCCCCACACACTGGCCCACCAGGGAGGAGCTGGGTGGATACAGGTAGTAGTGGGTTTGGGAGAGGCCCACAGACCTTGTACCCATGGGGCCCCGTGGAGGGAGGCTCAGAGCTGGGCCAGGTCCCTCAGCCTGGGAGTCCTGGCTCTGATGGGGAGACTGAGGCACAGGACCGAAACTGGCCAGGAGGAAAGATGGCGAGCGTCCTCTCCGGTAGCGTCACAGGGTGGCCCCAGGCACAGGGTCGGGACACCTGCCCCCAGACAGCACCCGGCCCACTCCCTGCAGACTCGACCCCACATTCCACACACGCCTGTAGCTTTAAGCTGCCTGGCTGTCCCCTGCAAACTGCTTGTTCCACATTCTCAGGGGGTGGGGTGGGGTAGGGTGGGTGGGGTGCTGGCACGCCCTCTCAAAGGCCTATAAGGCACAGGGCAGGACGGTGGGCCCCGGCAGGGAGCTGGGGCTCCACACTGACGTCCTCATGGCCCTGCTGCTCCTGGGGCTCCTGGGGCTCCTGGGGCTCCTGGGGATCTGGACACTGCTCCGTGCTCGCGCCTGCAGCCGCGCCCCCTCCCTAGCCCCACGCTGGCCCCCTGGGCCACGCCCGCTGCCCCTCATCGGGAACCTGCATTTGCTGGGGGTGTCCCAGCAGGAGTACTCACTGATGGAGGTAAGAGGGCTGGGGGTCCTGCACCCCTCATGTGAGAACCCTAGTTTTCAGGAACCCCTGTGGATTAGGAGGTTCATGGTCCAGCTGGGCACTGGCCTGGTAGGGGACACCAAGGGCCCAATTGCCCAACCTGCCTTGGGGAGGAGAAAGACACCCCACCCCCCACTGAAGAAGATGGGCCATCCAAGGGTCAGGGAGCCAGGAGGACTTCCTGGAAGAGGCAGGATTTGAAAAGACCCTGAAGAAGGCCAGGTTCGGGGCAGCAGAGGGGAGGGGACAGGCGTTCCAGGGAGCAGCGCCAGGCAGCAGCAGGACCAGCACACAGGCACTGCCCACGTGCCCACCAGAGGGGCAGCTGGGGTGCCTGCTGCTCGAGACTGCAGGTGGTGGGAGGATGGGCTGCTGATGACCCACAAAGCGGCCAGGACCGAGGCAGCCGCCCACCAGGCTGCGGGCACCGGGGCTCTCGGCCCTGGAGGCTGCCATTCAGCATGCTGGGGGCAAAGTGGGCAGCAGACGGGGGCAGCTGGCCGAGGTCTGAGCCCTGGCTGCAGTGGGAAGGTAGGAGCCTCCTCGCCCCGGGCAGGGATGCCATGGGGACAGGAGACGAATGAGCACAGGACCCCCAGGCCAGTGTGGCTGGCATTACCGCTCGGGGCCTTCCTGCTGGCCGAGGGGGGTCAGAGTGAGACCAACTGGCAGGCAGGCCCAGCGAAGGGCGAGGCCTGGGGGCCCGGGCTGCCCCTGAGCGGACCCTAGGCTTGCCGCATGGCCACCCCAGCACAGCCCTCCAGGCCTAGGGTGCCCCCCGGAAGAAAAACCCGGAACAGCCACACCCAGCACCACGGGCCGGGTCCACCTTCCTGGAAAGGTGGGGTTCCCTGAACACCTGAGCCTTTGCTCAATCCCCCCCCCCCCCCCCCGCAGCTCTCAGAACAGTACGGGCCGGTGTTCACGGTCCACTTGGGACTCCAGAAGACAGTGGTGCTGACTGGCTACCAGGCCGTGCGGGAGGCCCTGCTGGGCACGGGGCAGAGGCTGCTGGACCGGCCCCCCACCGCCATCTTCCAGCACATCCAGGGGGGCAGGGGTAGGTTGGTGGGGGTGGGGAAAGGGGATCCCACCAGGTGGGGAGGGGCAGTCACCAGCTCTGCGTCTGGGGAGGGACAGGGTGTCTATGTGACAGGCGGGGTAGGGGGGCACAGGGGACCACAACACCCAGGACAGGATGAGGCCAGCCAAGGCCTATCCCAGGGCAGGCTGGGGCTCCCGGGAGAACAGGCTGGGGACCAGAGAGCCCGCCCCCTGCATCTCCGGGGTCACCCTCCCCCTGTCGCCCGCAGGCATCTTCTTCTCCTCCGGCGCCCCCTGGAAGGCCGCCCGCCAGTTCACGGTGCGCACCCTCCACGGCTTGGGGGTGGGCAGGGGGCCCATGGCCGACAAGATCCTGCAGGAGCTGAGGTGCCTCCTGGGGCAGCTGGACCAGTACGAAGGTGAGTCAGGGCCAGGGACACCCCCTTCCCCGGCCCCTCCCCACTGAGGCCTGTCCCCCTCTCCCAGGCAGGCCTTTCCCCCTGGCGGTGCTCGGCTGGGCGCCCTCCAACGTCACCTTCACACTCCTCTTCGGCCAGCGGTTCGACTACCAGGACCCGGTGTTTGTGTCCCTGCTGCGCCTCATCGATGAGGTCATGGTGCTCTTGGGGACCCCCAGCGTGCAGGTGAGGGGTGGCTGCTCCCGGGCCTCGGGGTGGGGGCAGGGAGCTGAGTGCCAGCCTGAGACGGGGGGAGGGGGCCCAGGGGCCGCCAGCCAGGGGCAGCACGGCTCCCCCAGCCCTGTTTCCCCCACCTGGCCAGCACCCCGCCAGTCTGGGAGGCGAGGGGTCGGGCAGGGGTCCCCGTCTCCCCTCCCCACGCCTTCCCGTCAGCGGAGGTCTGCGGGCTCAGAAGTGGGGGCGGGCCTGACCGCAGCCCCAGCCCCCACCCCGGATCCTGTGGGGCGGCCCTTCCGCGCGGACGCACGTCCTCGGACTCTCGGGGTGCCCTGCTCGCCACCCTTCCGAACCCGGAGGGTCCACGTGTGCCGCTCAGCGCCGCTTCGGACACGCCCGTGGGAGCCTGTGCCCGTCCGTGTTCACGGGGTGGGAGCTCGGGCCTGCGGGGGGCTGGGGCGCCCCTGGGCCGTGCGTCTGACCTGAGTTCTGGTCGGGGAGCAGGCGGAGGGCCCCTGGGGAGGCCAGGCCGCGCCGCCCCCGCCGAGGCGCCCCAGTTTGCTCCCGGGACACAGCTGTGTGGCGCCAGCAGGGCGGGCCACGCGCGGGGCCCCGAGGGCAGCAACCCCTCCCCGCCTCCCGGCCCTGGTGGGCCGAGGCCCGAAGCGCACGCCCGGGTTGGGGCTTGTCGGCAGCCCTCCTGCCGGCCCTCGGGAGGGTTTCCTCGCCCCGGGCTGGGCTGCTGGGCCCACCAGGGGGCCGTGGGCCCCGCGCCCTCTTGTGGCCGCAGGTGGCACCCGCCCCCCTCGTCAGCCCGGACAGGGGAGCACACCTGCGGGGCCCACCAGGCGGTGCTGTGGCGCCGGAGCCCTCCCCCACCTTGCTGTCTGCCCCCTGCCCCCAGCTGTTCAACGTCTACCCCCGGCTCGGGGCCCTTCTCCAGCTGCACCGGCCGGTCCTGAGAAAGATCGAGGAGGTGCGAGCCATCCTGAGGACCCTCCTGGGGGCCCGGCAGTCCCCCACGCCAGGGGAAGGCCTGGCGCACAGCTATGTGGACGCCCTGATCCAGCAAGGCCAGGTGTGAGGGAGACCCCCACCCCCTAAGAGGTCTGGGGCATCCCAGACCCACCTGGGCCTGCACACCTGCTCCATCTGGCTGGGGGCCCCTCTGAGTCTCAGTCTCCTCGCCTGGGAGATGGGGTTCCCCGTGCGAGGACGGGGTGAGCCGGAATGCAGCGGGAGCTCAGCGGATGCTGCCTCTGTCCTTCCCGCCAAGTCTGTCTTCAACCCCTTTCCTTGAGTCCAGGGCTGGAGCGGGGGCCATGGGGTGCAGCCTCCCACTGAGCCCTGCCCTCCACCTCTGCAGGACACAGGCCCTGATGGCTTGTTTGCCGAGGCCGACGTGATGGCCTGTGTACTGGACATGGTCATGGCTGGCACGGAGACCACCTCGTCCACGCTGCAGTGGGCCGCCCTCCTGATGGGCAAGCACCCGAGCGTGCAGAGTGGGTGCAGGCCGCGGGCTCGCCGTCCCAGCCCCGAGGGCAGGGGTCCCCAGGGCCAGGGGAGGGAGGCTCCCAGGGACGCTGGCCCCCCCTCTCGCCCGCAGGTCGGGTGCAGGAGGAACTGGACCGCGTGCTGGGGCCTGGGCGGTGCCCCCGGCCGGAGGACCAGCGGGCCCTGCCCTACACCAACGCCGTGCTGCACGAGGTGCAGAGGTTCATCACCCTGCTGCCCCACGTGCCCCGCTGCACGGGGGCCGACACCCTGCTGGGCGGCTACCTGCTCCCCAAGGTGGGCCGCCACCACCCTGAGCCAGCCCCCCCCATGCTCTTCCCACTCTCACTTGGGGGGGGGGCCCGGGTGCATGAGGCCAGGGCTCAATGGGGAGGCAGGAGAGGGCCTTCCGGACAGCAGGGCTGGGTCCTCGTTGCAGGGCCTGGGGGGGTCGCCGGGCCTGCTGGGGCTTCCCCTGTGCAAAGGGCTGACGCCGGTGGGGGCCCTGCCCACTCTCCTGTTCTCCTGGGGGACTCAGTGCTCCTGTCTGGGCCTGCCCAGGGGGACGGGCACCCCAGCTGGCCCTCCTGCTGCCGCACCTGCAGGGCACGCCCGTGGTCCCCCTGCTGAGCTCCGTGCTCCTGGACAAGACGCAGTGGGCGACACCACGCCAGTTCAACCCCGAACACTTCCTGGACGCTGATGGGCGCTTTGTGAGGCCGGAGGCCTTCCTGCCCTTCTCTGCAGGTACGGACCATGAGCTCCTGCTGGCGCTGACCCCTGTTCCCTGGACCCCGGGCCTCGCTCTCAGGGTGCCCCTGCGCCTCGGTTTCCCCACAGGTCGCCGAGTCTGCGTGGGGGAGAGCCTGGCCAGGACGGAGTTGTTCCTGCTATTCGCTGGCCTCCTCCAGAGCTTCAGCCTGCGGCCCCCGCCTGGTCTCAGCCCCGCCGGCCTGAACACCGTGCCCGCCCCCGCCTTCACCATGCGGCCGCCCGCCCAAGTCCTGTGCGCAGTGCCCAGGCCCCAGGGGTGCTGATGGGGGTGGGGGGTGCGTGTGTCTGGCCTTGTGCTTTGGACAGACTCCCAGGGCCCAGGATGGTGGGTCACTGCCCCTTGCTCGGAGCCTGAACTCAGATGGCCCCTCACCGGGCCCCTCACCGGGCCCCTCGCCTCGCCACCGCCCTGCCTGCAGACGGCCGCTTCCCTGTCTCCCTGAGGCAGCCGGGCCACCTTCCCATCTGTCCCTCCTCCCCCAGGCCCCTGGGCTTCAGCTGCTGCCTCTTTGTACCAGGACCCCCATCAGCCCTTTCCAGGCCCCCTACGGTCCACTAGGGCAGCCTCTCCTCATCTCTGACCCATGAAACCCTCACCCCACTGCCCTGGGCCCCACTGGGCCCGATTCTGTGACCTCTCACCCCATTTCCCCAAGAAACAGGCCAAGGAGGCGTTGGGCCTTCCACAGGGGTGCAGCCAGGCCCCAAAACGATGCAGTCAGTGCACCAAGTGCGAAAATAACTGAATAAAAACCAAAGGGAGCAGCTGTCTAGTTCTCTTCACTGGTCAGCATGGAGCCTGGGTCGGGGCATCCCGCTGGCCGCAGACAGGACTCGGCCACTCCCCTGGCTCTCAGACCTGCACACGTCTGGTCCCAGGTGCATGGACGGGTCGGGTGCAAGACAAGATGGTAGGCAGAGGGCTCTCTGAATGTCTGTGGTCAGCACCCCACCTCTCGGTCCCGAGGGGAGTACCTTTGAGCAGAGGGTGGCTCTTGGCCGCAGCTGCACCACAGGTGCCTAAGTCCACAGACAAGCCACAGCCCTGACTGGAGCAAACCCCAGACACACGGGCTGCGGCCTCAGCTCCCAGAGATCCACCTGCGACCGAGCGCCCAGCAGAGCTGCCGCCGGCCACTCGGGCAAACGTGGCTGGAGCACACCCTGGAAGGGCCTGGCCAAGTGCTGTCTGTCCTGAAGCCCCTCTGGCCTGGAGTGTGTGCATGTGAGCACGTGTGCACATGTATGTGAGCGTGACCAGAATTCCAGCTGCACCAGCAGTTGTAGCACAGCATGGGGGGTGCCGCCAAGACCAGGGTGGTAGATGGAGGGTGGTGTGCCCCTCAGAGACCAGGGCTCTGGGTGGCAGGTGAGTAGAAGCCAAGGCCCCGAGAAGCAGCAAGGGACCTGCCCAGGCCCCTGTGGATGTGTAGGCCCCGCCTGGGCTGGGCCGCCCCTCCTCAGGGTCCGACCTCCCCTCACCACTAAGCAGTGCCCCTCGACATGGTGTTTCAGGGTAACTGAAGCTGAGGCCCAGACCTGCCCTGGAGCACAGGGTCTGTGCCAGGCTGGTGCCCAGCTCACTGCGGCAGCACCATTCCCATCAGGCAGCTCAGGGCCTGCACCCCCTGCACCCGGACGGCTCACAGACCTGACATGGAGCGGTGTTCAGTGGGGACAGCCCACCTCTGCCTTGCTTGGTATCGCTGGGCTGAAGGCTGGGCTACAGCCACCTGAGCACCACAAGCCCTTGCTCATGGGAGGGGCCTCAAAGACCTGCTGGGCAAGTGCTGAGAGGACCACGTCCCCACCACCCCGATCCTCAGGGTCCCGAAGGGCCTGCTCCGTGGAGGTGGCCCAGGCCCCAGCAGCCCACAGCTTCTCCCCCAGGCCCCAAATGCAGCTTCTGGAGCCCAGAGCAGGGCCGTGAGCTGTCCGTGCAGGCAGACAGCAGGTGTCCTGGCTGGGTGGCTGTGGGAGGGCCTGCAAGTGGTCGGCCTGCAGGGGGCAGCAGACAGCCCGCCTGGCAAGTCCGGGAAGCAGGGCACAGCCAGCCTCTCGGTCTCCACACTCCCCTCCCCACCCTACAAGCCATGCAGACGAACCACACAGGGCAAGAGCCATGGCCGTGTGGCCGCTTTATTAAAGATGCAGCCAGTTTCTGGTCGCTGGGCAGGGCGGTGTGAGGTGGACAGCACAGCCCGGGCTCAGTGGGCAGGCTAGTGGCCACCAGACCGACATGCGGGGCCCAAACCTGGGGTGCCCCCGCTGGCGGGAATCGGCTCTGGCAAACTGCTGACGCCCTGAGGAAAAGTGGCATCTCCCCCAAGCAGCTCGCGGGGCCCGAGGGAAGCTGGGGCCAGGATTGGCGTCTGCAGGTACTCAGGGACCCGTCCTGCTGCAGTGGGGTCGAGAGGGCACGGTGGCCCTTCTAGGGGCGATGCCAGGAAGAAGGGACCCAGTGCCTGGCAGCCCCCGGCCTGCCCTGGCTGGAGGGGCCCCGGTGGCCGGCACCTAGGAGAGCAGCTGCAGCACCTGCCGGACGCGCCGTGTCTTCTCCAGCAGGGGGCGGTCTGGGCTGCCGGCGCCCGCCTTGTCCAGCTCCCGCATCAGGGCTTCGGCCTTCTGCACGGTCAGCTCACGCGCCTGGCCTTTCAGCCCCGCCAGGTAGGCCAGCAGGGTGCAGAAGTGCTCGTCGGGAACCTGCACAGCGGGAAGGCCTGGTCAGCGCGGCAGGGCGTGTGGGTGTGCACGCAGCTGTGGAGCCCGAGGGAGGGCCCCAGGGTCCTGGCCCCGCAGCCGGAGTCTCAGGCCCACCGCGGTGCCCACAGCGTCCTCATGCCAGGGACTAAAGCCTGGACGGCCAGGCGGCATCTGCAAAGGGGCCCAGGCCACACGGGCTCCACTGTCCCATTGCTGGGGACAGGCTCGGGAGGGCGGGCCGTGGCCCAGCTTGGGCTCCACACAATGGCAGCCACCCTCTGCCCCCGAAATGCTAGCGAATCGCTAGGTGGGTGGTGGTGGTTTTGTCAATCCTCACCCGAGGATGTTCTTGCCATTTATTTTACTTATTTATTTTTAGTATGTTTTCATTGACTTTTTTAGAGAGAGGAAGGGAGAGATAGAAACATCGATGTGAGAGAGAAACATGGATTGGCTGCCTCCTGCACGCCCCCCCACTGGGGATAAGCCCACAACCTGGGCATGTGTCCTGACCAGGAATCGAACCGGGACCTCTCAGTCCACGGGACAACGCTCCCTCCACTGAGCACACTGGCCAGGCTCCATTGACTTTAGAGAGGGGGGGGGGGAGAGACATCGATCAGCTGCCTCTGCAGATCGAACCTTCAGTGTGCAGGCCGGCGCACTGACCACTGTACCACTGGCCAGGGCGAGCAGGTGTTTGAAGGAGACTGAAGTGCTAGGCCGAGAGCTGAGGGAGCTGAAGATGCAGGCAACTGATAACGACCGTGGGCCCGCGCTCCCCAGCCGTCCCCTGGCCCAGGTGGCCGTGTGGTCGTGTCGAGGTCAGTGGACAGGGCCTGGTGGTCTTGTCCGCCACAGGTTACAGCAGTGAAGGCCTGTGGCGCGTGCACAAGGCCGACGGACACAGACAGACCACGGAACAGAGCAGAGGGTCCCCGCAGGCCGGTCCTTGGGGAGAGACCCTAGCAACTGGGTGCCCACAGGAAATGCAGGAAGCGGGACCCCACCTCACGGCCCTGGCCGGTTTGGCTCAGAGGTTGGAGCGTCGGCCTGCGGTCCAGAGAGACCCGGGTTCGGTTCCCGCTAAGGGCACGTACCTCGGTGGCAGTTTGTCTCCGGCCCTGGTTGGTCGTGTGGGTGGCAGCCACTCGATGTGTCCCTTTCACGTTGATGTTTCTCTCTCTCCCTGTTCCTCTCTCTCCCTCCCACTCTATCTGAACAAAATATCGAAAAAATGTCCTCGGGTGAGGATAAAAAAAAGCAAAACAAGCTCATGTAAGAGCTAAAACTACACACTTCTCAGAATGCACAGTCTCTGTGAGCTTGGATCGGGCAGCGATTGCTCAGACCAGAGGCAGGAGCGATCTGAGGACCCAGGGAGACTGGACTTTGTCAAAGCAGAACTTAGCCCGGCGCAGGGCAGCCCGTTTCACCTCGTCAGGAGCGGAGCGCCAGGGGTGAGGACCCAGCCTCCAGGGTCAGCTGGTCAACTGGGCCCCAGAAAGGAGACGGAGCTGCCGGGAGTCGGGTGGGCGGCTGGGCAGAGCCAGGGGAGGGGGCATGGAGAGTTTATCTGCTGAGCCAGACCCCCCGGTTCTGTTAACTGGGCTCCCAGGGCAGAAAGGAGGCAAGACTGTCTGCAGGGTCCAGGGGCAGGGAGACTAGAGGGGGCAGTGCAGGTGAGGCTGGGAGCCCCCCCACAGCAGGTGCAGGTGAGGCCGAAAGACACCCCCAGCAGGTGCAGGTGAGGCTGGGAGCCCCCCCCCAGCAGGTGCAGGTCAGGCTGGGAGCCCCCCCCCCCAGCAGGTGCAGGTGAGGCCGAAAGACACCCCCCACCAGGTGCAGGTGAGGCTGGGAGCCCCCCCCAGCAGGTGCAGGTGAGGTCGAAAGACACCCCCAGCAGGTGCAGGTGAGGCCGGGAGCCTCCCCCCAGCAGGTGCAGGCGGGGCCTGGAGCCCCCGCCTTCCCGCACGCACCTGGTGGCTGTCGTACATGTGCAGCAGGAGCCAGGTCTGCCGTGTCTTCTGAAACCTCCAGCTCCCGTGCTGCTGGGCCCAGCTGGGAAAGCAAGTACAGGGCATTTCAGGCCCCAGAAGAGCAAGGAGATGTCTGCTGCCCGGCCTGGGGGCCTCTTCCTGGCTGGGGCCTGTTCCAGCTCATGGGAGCCTGAGGGGGCTCCAGGGGCCCCTCCTAGCCCGAGGGCGCGGACGTGGAGCAGAGAGGTTCAGGGCCCAGGGGGAGGGCGTCTCTCCATATGTCCACTGCGGGCCTTGGCCAAGCCAGGTCGGGAGGGCCAGAGGCCCAGGGCCACCCACTTCCTGTCCGCTCAACAACTCCACGATTTCGTGTGAACACCCCGAGCTGTGTGCTGTGCTCCACGGCAGACACCCGTCTGCCCGCTGCAGCAGGGTCAACCTGCAGACCGTGAGCATGCTGGGAGGAGCGGCCCGTGGTCAGGCTGCGCAGAGGACGGTGCCAGAGACCAGCCTTGGCCGCAGCAGCCCAAGCCAGGACAGCGCCGGCCGCACTAGCCCAGCCCACGGGGGCGCCGCGCTGCAGGAGCCAAGGGGAGGAGGCGGGTAAGGGGTCAGTCGGCAGAGGAAACGTCGGGGGTGGTGCTCTGGCCAGCAGGCTGGGCTGTCCGAGGTGAGGCCCGCACAGGAGACAGACCCCCGAGGGGACTCGGTGTACCGCCAGCCCAGGAGGGCTTTTCTCAGCAGGCTCTTGCTTCCATTCGACCCCTGGGGACGCGCCTGCGGGTCCCCTGCCTCACGGCAGCTCCGCCTGCTGCCCAGCTGCCGGGGCTGGGCGGGAGCACACACCCCTCCGCTGGGACCAGGCACTTCGCAGCAGTCAGAGAGAGGCCCGGCCAGAGGCCACCACCGTCCTCCCAGCAGACCAGACACCAGGGCCCGGCCGGAATTCCCATCTGGGTTCTGCATGTATCAGGGTGGCCTTGGGCGACTCACCCTCTTAAACCCGGTGTCTCGGGCTCTGCCCCGCCCCCCAGTGTCCTCAGGGCCCTCCCAGCCCTCAGTGGGCTCCTACTTTCCATCACCTCGAGAGCAGGGCCTGGCTGCTGACCCCCGTCCCCTTCGGGCAGTGGAGGACACAACAGTGCTGTCCATCTGTCCCACTGAGGGACAGGTCGCTCACTGACGGACAGAAGGCCGGTGCTCCCTGGTGACTGGGCTGGGCCCAAGGACCAGCCTGCTCTGCCCAGAAGTGGGTCTGACCCGAGCACAGGCAGTGCCATGCCCAGCAGGCGGTCAGCTCCGCAGCTGCGCCAGCGCCCGTCCCAGGGGGACCCGTGGGTAAGCGTGGGAGGGCAGCCCTGCTCCCCGGGTGCCAGGCCCACAGCCAGGATACCCTTCCCGCCCCCTTCACAGCTGCTACGTCCTCTCTGCCCTGCCCTCCTGCGGCCCCCACAGCCCGGGTCCTGAGTCTGTGGATCTCAAGCCACCGAGACCCTGAGGTGACGCCAGGAAGCAATGCCGTCCCAGGAGAGCTGGCTTCAGCCTGGTCCCGCGGCCTGCACCCCTCTCCGGGCTCCGGGGACCCTGGCGCTGCCAGGACAGCACCCCCAGCCGCGTACCCACAGAGGTAGTCCAGGGCCAGCTGGGCACTGGAGCGCTTGGCTGGCAGCTGCTGGGCCGGGGCCACGCCCGCCTCCCGGAGGCGCTTCCGTTCCTTCTTCCTCCGTTCCTTCTTCAGCTTCCTCTCCAGGACTCTCTTCTCCTCCGGGGACAGCTCCGGGTCCAAGCACGCGCCTCCTCCCTGCAGGGCAAGGGGAACCCGCCTGTTAGGGTCTCAGGAAGCTGCATGTCTGTGCCCTGGCCGCTGCCCTCAACCCAGGACCCCTAGGTGAGGTCAGTGGTAAAGCAGGAAGGGGCCGCTGGGACTCCTGCACTCTGGGGGTGCGCTACACCCTCTTTCAGGGGAGACAGACACCCGTGTTTGCCCTGGTTCGGGCAGGTGCCTGCAGGGGCGGGCGCCAGGAGCCTGGCCCCAGGTCTTCCAGGGAGGCACATGCCCACTGCCCTCCTCCCCTCCCTCCTCCTACACCTCAGCAGGTCCCTCAGGAAATGCCAGTCCCTCGGCAACCTCCGTTCCCACTCAGCACCCTGCTCCTCCTGGAGGCGCCTAGAAAACAAAACAAAACCAGCTCTGCCAGCTCCTCCCTCCCCCTGGAAAACCAACCGGAGGAGCTGAGGCGTCCGGCCTGGGGAGGCAGCGAGGAGGTGGCGGTGCTCGAGGGGTGTGCAGAGGTCCGGGGCAGGAGCAGGTCAGGGCTGCCAGCACTTCCCGAGGTGGGCAGGTTGGGAGCTCAGGGAGGGGAGAGGAGGGGGAAGCACCTCCCCACGACTCCAGCTGGCCCAGGACAGGGCCCTGCCATGGGCCCTGTGACCCCGCAGGGTGCTGGCTGCTGTTACGAGGCCGAAGGGGCCGGGTCACGAGAGAGAAGGGAGCCCTGCCCTGCTCCCCGAGAACTCCCGTGTGCCCTGCGGGCCCAGTGACAGTCCAGAGGGGCACAGGAGGGAGGCTGGAGGCAGAGGTGGGAAGGATGGGAGGAGGGGCTTTGAGAAAGCCACAGGGGCAAGAAGGGGTGAGCGCGCTGGCCCAGGACACTGCCGTGTTCACCATCAGACCCCACAGGTCAGGCCCGGATCCAGAGGGGCTCCGGAAAGGCCGTGGGAAGGAGCAGACCCACAGGGCGAGAAGGGTGAGCGCGCTGGCCCAGGACACTGCCGTGTTCACCGTCAGACCCCACAGGTCAGGCCCGGATCCAGAGGAGCCCCGGAAAGGCCGTGGGAAGGAGCAGACCCACAGGGCGGGGAGGGCAGCTTCTCCCACCCAGGCTCTCCTGCCAGCCAGCCTGTGGGGTCACCCAGTGTGGAACCCTCTCTGCACAGGGCAGCCGGCCTGCCTGCCTCGGGCACACACAGCACACGGGTGGGCCGAGTCAGCACCCATGGTGAAGTGCAGCGTGGCTGAGGGGCGGGGGGGGCCCTGCTGTGCCCACCCTGCGAGGTGCACCAGCTCTGCGCTCTGGGGGGCTGTGACTAGGCCCAGGCACCTGCTCAGGCCAAGCAGGGATGGCACCGAGGGCCGCCCCCAGCACCAGGCACGCCCGAAGGGCCCCAGCTTCCCCTGGGACCTGAACGTGCCCTGCAGCCCGGGACTGTCCAGTTTGGGCTCTTTGCCTGTGATGTCATACATGTGCACTCTGGGCGGGGTGCACCCCGCCCCACTGCAGTCTGTCTCTCTCTCTCTCTCTCTCTCTCTCTCTCTCACACACACACACAGACACAGACACGGTCTGCTCGCCACCCTGTGCCTTCCCGCTGGACCGCACCCTTCACAGCGTGTTGGGTGCCTGGCGGAACCGTTGGCAACCTGCACTCAGGGCTGGAGGGCAGGCTCCATGCACGGCGGCCCCCACACCCCCAGCCACAGCAGCAGCCACAGCAGCAGCCACGCCCGGCCCCAGCTCAGGCGGCTGTGTCCCAGAGAAAGGCCCGTTGTCTCTGCCGGAGCTCCTGGTGACCACTAAGCCTCGCCTTCACCAGGAGCTGCGGGAGGCGCTGCCCGCCCTGGCCCTGGCCCTGGCCCTGGCCCTGGGCGGAGGCTGTGCCCGCCTGCTGCAGCCAGAGACGGGGAGAGGCAGGCCTGGCCGACAGGGTGGTGGACGCTCCTCATGGGCCTGGAGGCCGCGCTGGCCCCGCCTCCAGCAGCAGAGGGGACAAACCTCTGGGCCTCTGCGACCTCCCACCGGGGGCAGGAGCGACTGGGCCCCACACTCACAAGGGTTTTCAAGGCGAGGGGAACGTTGTCCTTGGTGAGGTGCGTAGGAGCCCACACCTGGATGGGTGGGGCTTCTCCCCCTCACGCCCCAGCCAGGCCCTGGGGCCGCCTGGGACCCAGCGCCAGGGCGCACAGGGCACTCACTCACTCACCTGCCCCCCTGCTGAGCACACCGCCCTGCATGTTGGGCACATTTTACTTTCCAAAATGTGGTATAAAGAAAAACGTCAACAGGAGAGAGACCTAGAACTTGGTCCCAATTTATTATTTTTTTCAAATCCTCACACAGGGATATTTTTCCATCTATTTTCAGAGAGGCGGAAACGTCGATGTGAGAGGGACACAGTAATTGGTTGCCTCCTGCACAACCCCAACCAGGACCAAGGACCGAATCACAACCGAGGTGCGTGCCCTTGACCAGAACTGAACCTGTCTCTCTGGTCCGCATGCTGGTGCTCTAACCACTGCGCTGCAGCAGCGAGGGCTAGGTCCCAATTTAAATAACACTCCAACTCTTGCTTATGGGGCTGTCCCCAAGGCCCCCAGCCCAGACCCTCTGGTCTTCCAGACTGGTGCCCCGTGTGTGCGCGGGCACACACAAATGCGTACACACCCTCATGTGGTCTGTTCTAGGCCTGAGTTTCAACAGGGGAGCACCTCCATCCACCACCTCCCTCCACCCAGGCAAACCCTGCCAGCCGACACCCCTAGAGCAGCCGTGGGTCAGACACGAGCACTGACAATGACCAGAACGTGTGCTGTGAGGCACACGGACAGGGAGGGCTGGGGTCAGGAGTGGTCGAGGCGGGGAGGGTGCTGCAGAGAGGCAGTTGCTGGTTTGGCCTGTTCACAGCTCACAGTCCCTAAGGGCAGCTCAGGGCCTGAGCTGGCTGGATCCCGCCCCAGAGCCCGCAGGCAGAGAGCCTTACCCAGCTATCTGTTCACACCCTGCCTCTGGCTGTCTGACCCGAGGCTGGAGGCTGGGGTCCAGAGCAGAGAAGCTGGCCCCAGAAAGGCGCCTCCCCAGGCAGGAAGCCCATGTCCCCACCTGTGCCCGGCCAGGGACTCAACTTCAACCAGACTTATTTCCCCAATTGTTAAAATTCAACAGGGTAACTCACGGCAGCAAAGTACGTTTTCCCTTTCTGACAACAAAGTGAACGACAGGGAGTCTTTCCCACAAATTTTAAAGAAATCTTTTACTTTGAAAGAACCAGACGCACCCCATGCACCCTGCACCCAGAGCCAACACCTGCAGAGCCAGGCCCAGGCCGCCAGGCTCACCCCGCCTGCTCAGGATCAGAGCCACCAGCACAGGCTGGGCAGATGACGCAGCTGAGGACAAAGTATGCAGGGATGATGTTACATTCCTTAAAGGCCAATTCCCCCAATCTCCCCCCTCTGCCCAAACATCTGACTAAGCTCAAGGTGAGTGACACTGTCACCTTTCCGCTGTTACGGAAAAGAACAATGGTCAACATTCCCTTTCATTTGGTTTGCAATATCCTGATCGGAACAGAAGTTACTTCAGAGAACTTGCAAATCAGCTGTTCAGGAAGCTGCTGCTTTGATGAGTCATAAGAGTGGGGAAAACACAGCCAAGTCCCCGAGCTGGGAGACTCCGTGGAGTGTCCGTGGGCGCTGCACGTGGCGAGCTGTGTGGGGCCCGTTGCTCTCCGAGGGTCCTGGTGCTGCTGGCGCTGAGGCAGACGCGGGCTCTGGCCCCAAGGAGCTCACGCCGGATGTAAGTGAGCTCCTGGAGGACAGGGAGAGCGGCTGCCCCGTCCACAGCTGGGCGGGCGGGACGCCCCTGGCGGAGCTCGGTTTCTCGATGGGACTCCTGCGCAGTGTGGTGGGGCCTCGGACGGACCCTGCTCAGGTTTTAAGGGCATGAAACAATGCTCGGGGCACACATGGAAGGGCGCCAGAGCAGGAGAGCACCTGTGCGTCACGACCACCTGACAACCCGGACCTGCAGGCAGAGCTGTGCTGGTGACAGGGACGTGCCCATCGAACACAACTTCACAGGTCCCACGGCCTCCGACCTGCGGCAACACTCAGTGTAAGGGGATGCTCAACTGCAGCTGGGGCGGGAAAACCACCCACTCATTTTTTCCTTCTCCGGGTTCAAACTCCCCGTATTTGTGAGACGAGGCTAAGAACAGAACTCCAGCCAGAACCCAGACCCCCCAAGCCCTCAGCTCTGACACCACATGACGTCCTGGAAAAAAGCCAGCTCCCCCTGGGACGCCCCTCCACAACCCCCTTTCCCACCCAAACCCACCTGCCTGGCCTCACTGCACCTGGGCCTTGGAGGGCCCTCTTCCCAGCAGCACACACGGCACAGCGCCAGAGGGCTCAGACTCCAGGGCCCGAGGGAGCCGAGCTCCTTCCTGTTTAGTTGGCGACAAGGCCTGAGAGGTAAGATCTTGCCCACGGTCACTGCACAAGTGGCAGGCCAGGACACCGGTCCTCAAAGGCCAGTCCAGTGCTCCGGGAGGGCCTTTCACACTGCCCATGCTGGCTGACAGTGGGCCCTGCCTCCCCGTGTATCCTGGCTGGAGGGAGTTCAGAATGGACTCGCCAGTCCCTGGGGATGAGGGACAGACTGCTTCAGGACAAGGCCACACGAGGGACCAGAGCCCCTCCCAGGGGCAAAGCACAGTTCTGCACCCAGCAGGCTGCCAGCAACACACACCCGTGAGCTGGACACCCAGGCTGTTAGACACAGGCAGCCACAGGACCCCTTTGGCAACCGGCCTGCATTTCAGAAGGAACACTGAAAATTTTAACTTTATTCTTGTCCTTTAGCCCAAGAATTCACTAAGTCTGTTCGATGCCAACATGCACTGGAAAAGCCCAATGGCACACGGAGGCACAGCTCGAGCACCAAAGCCAGGCAGGACTAGCCCCACGTGCCCCGAGCGTCGGCCTGGGACGCCCGTCTGGACCCACAGCTCCCACGGCTGTGA